AAAATGAATGGCGGGGACGCATGCGAACTGTGCCACTGGGACCGTCGGCGGAGCTTCTATGGGGCCACGAAGCGTGTGAGGGGCGTACCGAAATGAATGGCGGGGACGCATGCGAACTGTGCTACTGGGACCTCCGGCGGAGCTGCCACGAAACGTGTGAGGGGTGTGCCGACATGAATGGCGGGGGCGCATGCGAACTGCGCCACTGGGACCTTCAGCGGGGCCCCTATGGGGCCAAGAAGCGTGTGAGGGTGTGCCGAAATGAATGGCGGGGACGCGTGCGGACTGTGCCACCGGGACCTTCGGTGGAGCTCCTATGGGGCCACGAAACGTGTGAGGGGTGTGCCGAAATGAATGGCGGGGACGCGTGCGGACTGTGCCACCGGGACCTTCGGTGGAGCTCCTATGGGGCCACGAAACGTGTGGGGGGGTGTGCCGACATGAATGGCGGGGACGCGTGCGGACTGTGCCACTGGGACCTTCGGCGGAGCTCCTATGGGGCCACGAAACGCGTGAGGGGTGTGCCGAAATGAATGGCGGGGGCGCGTGCGAACTGTGCCACTGGGACCTTCGGCGGAGCTCTTATGGGGCCACGAAACGCGTGAGGGGTGTGCCGACATGAATGGCGGGGACGTATGCGAACTGCGCCACTGGGATCTTCGGCGGAGCTCCTATGGGGCCACGAAACGCGTGAGAGGTTTGCCGAAATGAGTGGCGGGGACGCATGCGAACTGTGCCACTGGGACCTTCGGCGGAGCTCCCATGGGGCCACGAAGCGTGCGAGGGGTGTGCCGAAATGAATGGCGGGGACGCATGCGAACTGTGCCACGGGGACCTTCGGCGGAGCTCCTATGGGGCAGCGAAACGTGTGATGGGCGTGCCGAAATCCTTAACGCTTCGCGTGTCCCCACCAGCGCAGACTCCCTGGATTGCACGTTGGCTCTGCCGCCCTGGGCGCTGCTCCCCCCCGTCGCCTGATCCGCGGCCTCCGCGCGCGCTCGGCAATTTAGTCGCGGCCGTAGCCCGCCCGCGACCTCCCGCCGCTGGCGCTTCCGCCTGCGGCTGTAAAAAAAAAGTGTCCCCACCAGCCCATCCAGAAACGATGTCCAGGCAAGTTGAAAATATCAGGGAAGTGGGGGAGCAACGAGAGGGACAGCCGACCCGTGCAACAGGTGCGGCGGAAGAGGAGGCCAGATGGATAGATGAGGGGGTGGCGAGGAACCGATCGAAGGAGGGATGAGGAGAATGATGACGCTGGGTGGATGGTTGAATGCCGCTCGGATGCCTCTTGGAAGCCGTTTGGAAGCCTCTTCGGACGTCTTGGGGGTCTCTTGGCGGTCAATGGGGGCTCTTGGGCGTCTTGGGTGTTTCTGGGGGGCCTCTTGAGGCCGCTTGGGATCCTCTTGGGGGGCTCTTGGGGGCCTGTTGGAGGCCTCTTGGGGGTCTCTTGGAGCTTCATGGCGGCCTCTTGGCGCCTCTTGGGGCCATCTTGGAGGAGATCGATCAAACAAGAGGGTGGGGTTAATTAGCCTTCCCCCCCCAAGAGGCCAAAATGGGGCCAAATCGTAATAAAACCGATGATGTTGGCTTCCTCGCCGAGGCCGTTTTGGACGCTCTAACTACCAGCGCCCCCCCCCGTCCAAGTCCGGGGGAAGGGGTTAGGTGGAGGGGTAAACCCCTCCCCGAACGGGAAGAAGGGAAGATGAAAGAGGAAACTCCCGGAACCACCTACGCCCAGAGGGCTGGTGGGATTAATGGCGGGGACGCATGCGAACTGTGCCAATGGGACCGTCGGCGGAGCTTCTATGGGGCCACGAAACGTGTGAGAAGTGTGCCGGAATGAGTGGCGGGGGCGCATGCGAACTGTGCCACTGGGACCTTCGGCGGAGCTCCTATGGGGCCACGAAGCGTATGAAGGGTGTGCCGAAATGCGTGGCGGGGACGCATGCGAACTGTGCCACTGCGACCTCCGGCGGGGCTCCTATGGGGCCACGAAACGTGCGAGGGGTGTGCCGACATGAATGGCGGGGACACATGCGAACTGTGCCACTGGAACCTTCGGCGGAGCTCCTATGGGGCCACGAAGCGCTTGAGGGGTGCGCCGGAATGAATGGCGGGGGCGCGTGCGAACTGTGCCACTGAGACCTTCGGCGGAGCTCCTATGGGGCCACGAAGCGCGTGAGGGGTGTGCCGAAATGAGTGGCGGGGGCGCATGCGAACTGTGCCACTGGGACCTTCGGCGGAGCTCCTATGGGGCCACGAAACGTGTGAGCGGTGTGCCGAAATGAATGGCGGGGACGCATGCGAACTGTGCCACGGGGACGCTCGGCGGGGCTCCTATGGGGCAACGAAAAATGTGAGGGGCGTGCCAAAATGAATGGCGGGGGCGCTGAAACGCATGAAAGAGGGAGGAGGGGGAGGGGCACGGGAGGAGAAGGATGAGGAGACGCGGGGACCGTTTTGTCAAAACGAGGACCCAACAACACAGGTTGGTTGGAAAAAAACCATACAAAACGCACGATGCCTCTACATTTGAAGCATGCGCGGCCGCCCTGCGGCCACTTCGCATTGTTTTTTTACAGAGGCGGCTGTCATCATCATCATCATCATCATCATCATCATCATCATCATCATCATCATCATCATCATCATCCTCATCCTCATCCTCATCCTCATCCTCATCCTCATCCTCATCCTCATCCTCATCCTCATCCTCATCCTCATCCTCATCCTCATCCTCATCCTCATCCTCATCCTCATCCTCATCCTCATCCTCATCCTCATCCTCATCCTCATCCTCATCCTCATCCTCATCCTCATCATCATCATCATCATCATCATCATCATCATCATCATCATCATCATCGTCATCATCATCATCCGGAGCGCCACGGATCGGCGGCACTGGCCAGAGGCCGCTACAATCCCACCTACCTTTTGGGCGCAGGTGGTCGACCGACTGGTTTGACAAATGAATGGCTGCTGTCTTCTTTTCGTTCCCGATAACCTTTCGAAACCTCGGTTCCCGGCGAAACTCCTGCAGCGTCTGCAGTGCCCCGAAGCGCCCGGACCCCCGAAACCTCTGCCATGGGCGCGTCGCCCGGCCGCTCGCGACGCGCGAAGCCGACGAGCTTCCTTGTCGCAAGTGAACCTACAACCGGCACGGCGGTAGTGTGAATGCCCCGGCGTGCACTTTGCATTGCGTTTCGACAAGGATGATTCGGTGCACGCCAGGTTGTCGGCGTGCCATGCCACGCACCTTCTCGCGCATTTGTGTCTCATGCGTGGAGGGGGGGGGGGCGCGCGCGGTGGCCAGCAGCAACAAGCATGCGCTGGGGAGTGCGCAGTAGCAGTAGTTGCGGCGCACGCTGGTGGAGCCCCCATTCGCGCCCAGTGGCTGGCGCACCTGGCGCGGCTGGCACGCTTGGGCCTCGAGGGCGCTGGTGCGTCTGGAACGCGTGTTTTTTTGCGGCGCTCTTACGCGACATGCTGACACCCAGGTCTTACTCATGTGTTGGGAAGGCCGGTGGGAGTGAGCAAGACGGCTTGCGGGCGGGCGGGTAGCTCGACCCCTCCCCCTATCCCCTATGCCCCCGGATCTGGCGGGGATGCGCCGCGAGGTGTCAGATGGTTGTTTGTTGGCTGCAGCGACAAAACGCTGGGCGTGCGAGGCATGGACACCCCGGGCCAGCGCGCCCATCCTGACTGATGACAGAGGAGGGAGGAGCGCGACGGGCAGCTAAATCCGCACAGTGCCACTTGGCGGAAGCACGCGCTTCAGGCGAGCCTCGCACGCGCGCGCGTGCCACTTCGTCGCAGGGGGGGGGGGGGGGCGTCACTCGCAGGATTATTGTCGGACTCAGTGCGGGTTCTAGCTCTTCACCCCCTTCCAATGTGTTGCTACTGATCATGATCAAGACATCGATTCGAGCGTTCAATCCTAGCGCGAATCACTGTAACCCCTGCGCCACAGAGCTCACTGACACCCAGCTCAGCGATGGATGCGCGATGTGCATGCGGCGCGCGGCACGACGGGCAGTTTCACGCGAACCTGCTGACAGCTAGGCTTCGGGCAGCACTCAAAAACGAGTGCGACGAGGGGCCTCCAAACAATCACAGATGGCACCCGTCCTTACATGATCGATCGCCCTCTGGATCGGGACATGTCTCGCGCCTGCTGTACAGCGCCGTTCAAACGCGGTGCGACACTCTCGTGCGACTCATCATGGCGTCCTCATCTATTCCGCCGCCGCTGCCAGCCGAATTGTTGCTTTGATCAAGCAAGGCCGCGAAAACGTGCACAGATGTCGGTTGAGTTCCGCCTTGTCCACAAGCGTAGGCTTACCCTGCAATGAAACGCATCATCTGAGGTTACCGGTTTGGGATCCCTGGCAACGCCCTGGATGTCACCAGCGCATTCCTGGAAATCTCTCGCGAGTCGAAGCCGTACGATCTCAGGCCAATTCAGACGGGTTTCAGACTACCTCCAGACTACTTTCAGACATGGCTGAAAAAACATGCGTTACTACCGGCAATCTGAAACTGGAGACGGGTTTCAAACTTTTTTCAGACGGGTTTCAGATACGGGCCTCCGACGGCTTCCAGACGGCTTCCGTCGGCTTCCGCACGGCATCCGTCGTCTTCCAGACGGCTTTCACACGGTGTTCGGCGTCGTCGCATCGGCCGTCGGCATTGCCCGCTGCTTGCTCGACACCTCGATCAGATCCGAGGCTGAAGATACCAGCACCAGCAGCTCCGGTGCATATACTTACATTGCGGATGCTGGTCTGCCGGCATAAGCTCTGAGCCGAAATTGGAACAGCCCCCCCCCCCACACACACACACACACACACACTAATGCCACCAAAAAACTGAAACATGCCAGGACAACGCGTACCGGGTTGGCTGTCGAGCTCACCCCTGCTAATACGTTGGCCACGGGTCGACCATCTAATCTTGTCGATTGCGCTGAGCATGCTGCCTCATGAGTTGTCGTTGACCTCGGCCCAAAGTTTCTCGATTGATTCCGTGAGCTGCTTGTTCGCTGCAACCAATGCCTCCTCGCATTGGCCCTCTGAGTTCGATTTCTTAAAACCGACCAGCTCAGTCGTGAAGAGCCGCGACAGCCGCTGGTCTGCAATGGTCAGCTCTTTCACCTCGGATGGAGCTGGGGGGGTCGAAAAAAAAAGAAGAGGGTCCTGCCATCCCTGCTTCCTTCCTTCCTCCTCCTCCCTCCTCATCGTCATCGTCGTAGTCATCGCCATCCTCATCCTCGCCATCATCCTCATCCTCGTCACCCCCCTCGCCCCCCTCCTCCTCCCCCTCCCCCTGCGCGCCCGCCATCGTCCGCCCCATCCCCCCGTGCTCATCGCCCGCGTATTCCCCCTTCCTCGCCCGCCGCCCTCTCATCCTCTACCTCCTCATCCTCTCCGCCATCGCCCTTCCCGTCCTCCGTGTCTCACTCCTCCTGGGCGTCCTCCTATGTAGTCCCCTATTCATCCGCCCCCTGACCTCTTCGAGCGCGCGCTGCGTCGGCCGGGCGAGGCCCCCCTCGGCCCCGCCCGAGCGCTTGGCGACCGACAGGGCCCGTGACAAGGCCGCGCCCTCAGACGCGATGGCAGCCTGGGCAGCGCGCGCCTGCCCCGGTGCACCGGTGCGCAGGTTCTTCAGCTAGGGAGGAGCAGCGGGCAAGAGTTTTCGTTTTGTCAATCCGTCCTCCCTCGACCTCTCCTTAGCCTTCCCTCATCCAACGTCGTTTGCCCTCCTCCTCCCCCCTCCCCCCCCGCCCCCATCCATCCCCCTTTTCCCCCATCGTCCTCCTCCTTCGTCCGTGGGCGCAATGGCCCACGTCGTTCTCCATCCCCCTCCTCCGTGAACTCATCCGCTGGCCCTCTTGAAGTCCGCGAGGCCGGACGGCGTCTCGCCCTTCTTGTTGCCGGCCGCCGCCTCCTGATCATCGCCGCCCTGCTCCTCTCTAGCTTTCTTCGCGGCCTCGTCCTTCGCCTTCTTCTTCGCCGCGGCCTTCGCCTTCGCCTTCGCCCGGGCGACGCGGGCCACCGCCGGCGGCGCGTCGCCCCCCTCATCTACCGCGGCAGCGCCCTCTACTGCCTTGCGCTTGCCGCCGCGCGGCTCGGCGGCAGCGCCTGATTTGCCTGCCCGCGCGGCAGGAGCTGGAGCTTCGTCGCGAGCCGCCTGCCCCGGCTTGACCTCAGGCGTCCGGCGCCACTTCTGCTTCTTCTCTGCCACTTTCTTGCGCCTGTCGGACATCCTGCGGGCCGCGCGCAGATACTTGAGCTGCTCAGACCCCCAACGCCGCTCGACTTGGTCAGGGCCCAACCCGACGCAGCTCCGGGCCAAGAGGATCGCCGCGCGAAGGCCAGACATTCTTCCACCTTCCTCCATTGCGATCTTCGCCAGAGGAATGAACTGACCATCTGTGGATTCCACCTTCTCGTTGATCTCGCCTTCCTTGTGCTGCGCCTGCGCCGCCCGCGCGTTGAACTCCTTCTCCATCCAGCCCCGTCTGAATTTGACCTTTGCTGGCCAGCCTTCCACCGCCCTGTAGTCGTCGGCGAGCTTCTCATTTACTTTCTTTGCCCTCCTCCACTTCGCGGCCGCAGGATTGGGCTTTGTCTCGCCCAGGTCGAAATAGAAACTATTTTCCTGCATGGCCCCCCCAAGACTCGATCATGTCGTCGTCGATCTCCTGGTCGCTCCTCCCAGCCTGCTTGCGATCCGCCCCCGCCCATTCAGGGCCCCTCTCTCGAATCTCATGAATCCGCTTCAGCGAGTCCGAGTGGCGCAGCTTGACGAGGCGCTGGGCAGCGAACCCCACGCGCACTTCATTGGTGTCGCCGCCACCGCAGATGTCGTTGGCAATGAAGTTCGCCTCGGCATCGAGCTGCGCCGAGATCCCCTGCTTCGACAGGTCCTTCAGCGGCGCGGGCCCCCCTGGTTCAGGCGCGGCTGCGCGCGGGCGACGCCTTTCATCCCAAAAGCAGCGCGAGCGCAGCTGCGACTGCGGCTGCGGCGTAGCGCCCCGTCGTGCTGCGCGACTGCTGGCTGGCTGGAAGCGCCGATGGTAGTTCCAGCTTCGCCAACTGCGCCGCCCACGTACGGAGGCGCATCCTCGCTGTCGGGGCCGCTGTGCCCTCTGGGGCACGCGTTGACATACTTCTCGCTTGAATTCATATCCTGCATTGCTGCGTCTATGCCATCCTGCGCCGACATAGCCCCCATCGCCGCTTGCGCCTTCCTCTCCGCCATGTCGTTCTCAGCCTGGTCCTCCTTCAGCTTCAACTCCTCGACTTGTTGTTGTCCATCTCCTCGCGCCCCCCATGGTCATCTCGGTCCTCTCCTGAGGCTCCTCCTCCTAATGCGCCTTCTCTTCCGCCTGCTGCTTAGCCGACGCCTCCTGCTTGGCCAACTCCCCCTGCTGAGCCAACTCGCCCTTTTCCTGCTTCAGACCCTCCTTGCGCGCAATCTCGCCAGCATCTGCAAGCTCCTTCTGCTTATGTGCACGTTCCTTCATCTAAGTCTCAATGCCGCCTGAGCCACTCGCTGTGCTGCTCCACCATGCGCTTGGCCTCCTCTTCTTTGGTTGCGTTCGCCGCCCCCGGGCGCCCGGCTGTCTCCTCTGCCTGCTTAGCGGCGGCCTCCTGTCCTACCATCTCCTTCTGCAGCTTCTCATTTATCTGCTTCGCCTCCTCCTGGATCATCGCAAGCTTCCCATCCTCGTCCGGCGACTCGACGATGTGGTCTCGGTTGGCCTCGTTCTTGGACTTCCTGCTATTCCGTCGGGCCTCGTATGCGCCCCAATCATCTAGGCCGCAGCCGCCCACTGGCGGTTCGGACTCGATACCCTCGCTCGACTGTTCTCCAGCCGCTTTAGCCTCGCCAAGTGCTTGATGCACCAACTCCTCGAGCGCGTCCCCTGATGGTCGAGGAGGGTCCGGCACTGTCTGCGCGGCGCCCATCAAAGGCGGCGCTGCCAGCGGAGGCGGGGGCAGCCTCGCCGTCGGCCGCGGCTGGGGCAGCGGCGGCCTTGCCACCGGCCTCGAGGCTGCGCTCTGGCGAGCTGGCGGCTTAGGCAGCGACGGCCTCGCCACCAGCCTCGGGGCTGCCATCGGCCAAGCTGTCGATCTCAATGGCGGCGCTCTGATGCGGCATGTCCTGGCGATTGTTCCCAACCATCCTGTGGTGTTGGGTCCTCGTTTTGAAGAGACGGTGCCCCGCGTTCTCCTTCCTTCCTTCCTTCCTTCCTTCCTTCCTTCCTCCCGCTGCCTCCTCCCCCCTCCCATCATCATCATCATCATCATCACCAACACCCATTTCGGCACACCCCTCACACGCTTCGTGGCTCCATAGGGAGCTCCACCGAAGGCCCCAGTGCCCGCGGCCGCATGCGTCCCCCACACCCATTTCGGCACACCCCTCACACGTTTCGTGGCTCCATAGGGAGCTCCACCGAAGGCCCCAGTGCCCGCGGCGCATGCGTCCCCCACACCCATTTCGGCACACCCCTCACACGTTTCGTGGCTCCATAGGGAGCTCCACCGAAGGCCCCAGTGCCCGCGGCCGCATGCGTCCCCCACACCCATTTCGGCACACCCCTCACACGTTTCGTGGATCCATAGGGAGCTCCACCGAAGGCCCCAGTGCCCGCGGCCGCATGCGTCCCCCACACCCATTTCGGCACACCCCTCCACGTTTCGTGGCTCCATAGGGAGCTCCACCGAAGGCCCCAGTGCCCGCGCCCGCATGCGTCACCCACACCCATTTCGGCACACCCCTCACACGTTTCGTGGCTCCATAGGGAGCTCCACCGAAGGCCCCAGTGCCCGCGGCCGCATGCGTCCCCCACACCCATTTCGGCACACCCCTCACACGTTTCGTGGCTCCATAGGGAGCTCCACCGAAGGCCCCAGTGCCCGCGCCCGCATGCGTCACCACACCCATTTCGGCACACCCCTCACACGTTTCGTGGCTCCATAGGGAGCTCCACCTCGGCCCCAGTCCCCGCGCCGCATGCGTCACCCACACCCATTTCGGCACACCCCTCACACGTTTCGTGGCTCCATAGGGAGCTCCACCGAAGGCCCCAGTGCCCGCGGCCGCATGCGTCCCCCACACCCATTTCGGCACACCCCTCACACGTTTCGTGGCTCCATAGGGAGCTCCACCGAAGGCCCCAGTGCCCGCGGCCGCATGCGTCCCCCACACCCATTTCGGCACACCCCTCACACGTTTCGTGGCTCCATAGGGAGCTCCACCGAAGGCCCCAGTGTCCGCGGCCGCATGCGTCCCCCACACCCATTTCGGCACACCCCTCACACGTTTCGTGGCTCCATAGGGAGCTCCACCGAAGGCCCCAGTGCCCGCGGCCGCATGCGTCCCCCACAACCATTTCGGCACACCCCTCACACGTTTCGTGGCTCCATAGGGAGCTCCACCGAAGGCCCCAGTGCCCGCGGCCGCATGCGTCCCCCACACTCATTTCGGCACACCCCTCACACGTTTCGTGGCTCCATAGGGAGCTCCACCGAAGGCCCCAGTGCCCGCGGCCGCATGCGTCCCCCACACCCATTTCGGCACACCCCTCACACGTTTCGTGGCTCCCACCGAAGGCCTCAGTGCCGCCGCCCGCATGCGTCACCCCCACCCATTTCGGCATTTCTCGCACGGCAGGGTCATCACCACGGTGGCGTGCCAGGGGCGCACCATGCGCGAAGGCGACGGGGCGGGGGAACGGCGCTCCGGGGGCGGCCAGACCTCCGGGGCGCGAGCAGTCCGCGGCCAGACCATCTCTCGGTCCTGTGGACTCTCGCCCTGGGCCGTCGGCTGCCCGGCGCGCTGCTCCCTCGGTCGACGTCGCCAGGCGTGATCCTGGATTGCGGCCGCCACGAGGTAGGGAACGGCAAGAAGGAGGACGACGACTGGTGGCTGGAGCTCTACGTGCTGCTCTCGCGCGCCACGCGCCACGAGGACCTCCTGCTCATGCGGGCGCCGCGCATCGAGTTCATCCTGGCAGGGCCGCCGCAGGGCTTGCGGAAGCAGCTGGAGCAGTTTGCGGCGCGCACGAAGCGGTGCAGGAGGGAAGCGACGGCCCTCGCCAGGGAGGTCGGCTTCACCGAGTTCATCCGCAAGGCCTGACCTGAGGAGCGTCTCCCCCGAGCCGCGCCTTCTCTCGACTGCCCGACTAATTGTTTGGCCTCGCGCCGCGGACGACCCGCGCGCGTCGCTGGGACCCTCTCGGGGCGACCAGCGCGCGTCGCGGGAACTCCGTGCTGCGGGGGGCCCGGCGCCTCGTTCGCCCGTCGTCGCTCTGCCCAGCGGTCAGAGACTTGCCCGCCATCAGCCAGCCAGTTAGCTAGTCAGCTCTCTCTGCTTCGCGCAGCGGACGACCCGCGCGCGTCGCTGGGACCCCGCCCGGGGCGACCAGCGCGCGTCGCGGGGACCCCGCGCTGCGCTGCGCCCGCAGCCTTGGATTTTGGAGTGCGCGGGCAAAGAGGAAGGAAAACAAGAGCCGAAAGCGGGCGCGATCCTCGCAAGAGGCGTGCCGACATGGGCGTCGCGACGCGCGGACGCTGCCGTCGGGGTTCCCGCGGAAGCTGCCTGCAACG